ACCTCTTGTAGTTTTACAACATAACGAAAAATAATTTAAAACAATACGTTGATAGCATTTAATAGAAATTAGTCTTTCAAACACACTGTCAGACAATGAACAGCGATCTGGTTGAAATATTTTACCAGCTATATCAAATAGCCATTCGACTGGGGTTATTGGTATTGCTTATTGTGAAAGATAATCTATAGTGTCCTCAATGTTAATTTAACACTATTATACTTAGGCCCTATTACTATTACTATTACTATTACTATTACATGAAAAATTCTAATAATTACTGTTACTATTACATATTACCCCAGGCCTGACTGTGTCACCATTAAGCAATATATATTATTCAAGAACCTTTAGTATTATGGATCACTGTAAGTGCTTGTCATATTTGTGTATTACTGTTACTGTTATTATGCCTTATTACTATAATTACTATATTGTCTATTATTCAATGCCCTTTGTAGCATTTATCTGTCATTAACTTGTTAACATTAAGCTCTTTCTTTATGTCTCTAACCCTTCCTATAGTACATACCCAGGGTTTCCCACTAAGCATGCTAAGTGAGCTAAACAGCATTCTTCATGAGTTGAAAAGCACATGTATGTACATGTACAGACATTCGTACATGTATATGGCATTTGGAGCAACTTTAAAAATTTGTAAAAAAACCTAATTCTAATCAGAATCAGCTTAAACTTTCTATTCAAACTAGGAACATCTATATGCATTAGAAAAAATATAAAAGTGATGAATTCTCTTTTAGCCATTTTTTATGAAACTTGGTCAAAGACTGCATATTTGTCCAAATTTTGAGCAAATTAATGAATTCATTAAAAGTCCAATTTTAATTGGATTCAGCTCAAACTTTCTACACAACACAAAAACATGTATTTGTATCAGACAAAAATATTTAAAAGGAAAATTCACCTCTAGCAATTTTTGACATACATGTAATAGCACAGGATGTTTTGTCAAACTGTAGAGCAGTTTTAAAGTAGAGAAAGAGACGTGTAGAATAGTAAAGCCATAAAGAGAGTAGAATTTGTATGAGAATAGACTATATTCAGAAAGATTGCTAAAGATAATGTAGGGCATCTTAAGAGGGGAAAGAGAGATCAAATAAGACCATGCATGTACACAAAGACATTGCGCACTAAGGGAAAGAAATGAAATGTTGCCAAAGTGGTATGCACAGGGTTTCCCACAGGTTTATAGTATAGTGTTCACCATTTTAACAGTGCATACACCTTTCTCATTTTTGCTCCTATATGACCCTATCCTACATTCCTTCCTCTCTACATTCCTTTCTACATCTGCATGTGTAATATGTTTACATTTAGCACATGCATATCAAAAAATGTATGCTACACACAGGCCTACATGTATGTCACTGATTCATTAAGTATAGCTTATGAAATAAAGTAATTGCTACTACGCTTATATGCACTGAATAGCATTACAGCTTTACTCTTGATTACAGTAATCATTGCTCTTTAATCTGATTTACCATTACACTTCACTGCTGTGCACTTCCCTCTCTTTGCCATTTTCCTTTCTCTATCTCTTTAGTGTCTCTGTCTCTCTCAAGCTTATGCTTCAGTACTGACGTCATCAAGTATTTCATTGAAGTAAGATCAATTATATATTTCCCATTTTATGTTTCTCTGTATGATTATAGTCCAATTCAAGTTTCAAGCTATGAAGTATCAAGAGCAAAGGACTATTATATGCATGACCAAACATTGTTGTATTGTTGTGTGTTATTTATTTCTTTAAATTGCCGAAAAAATATTTTAAATAATTTGCTACTACTA